TGTACCCCTGGTGACTAGAACATTGCCTGCCACATAATAGGCACTTGAGAACTATTTATTAAATAAAAGAATTAATATAAGTTGAAAGATATTCAGCGCACTACTTTAGAAATATACATATATATATTTCTCAACTTAACTTGATGAAGCCTCCACAAAGGCACTATCTACCAGCTTTACCAAGTACCTTGTTAGTAGATGGGTTCAATATATGTTCAGTAAAGGAGCAGAGATAGATAGTAAAGTTCCAGGAATACTGGTTAAAAACAGCAGACCCTCCAGCATTTTATTTCAGCAATAGTTCTTTTGTTCCTGATGCTTTCTTCTTTTTTATTGAATCTTGCCTTTTTATGGCACTATAATTTATAATGATAAGATGCACACATCTGAAGGGTACAGTTGATATGTTTTGACAAATTCATACACCCTTATAGCCCACACATTGGTTGAGATATAGAACTTTATATCATTCCAGAAAGTTCCCCTGTACCATTTTTTAGTCAATTTCCCATTTCCCCTCCCTGCTCTGTGACTGCTGTTCTGATTTCTATCACTATTAGATAAGCTTTCTTTGTTCTTAAATTTTATATGAATGGAATCATACACATGTATTCTCATGTTTGACTTCTTTGTGCACTATGCCTGTAAAATTCATCCAGGTTGCTGTGCGTATCAGTAATGTGATCCTTTTTATTGCTGAGTAGTATTCCATTGCATTAACATACCACAGTTTATCCAGTTTTATTTTGATGGAAAACATTTGGATTATTTCCACTTTGGAACTATTATGAAATAAGCAGTTATAAACTTTCTTATATGAATCTTTGTGGACTTACATCTTAATTTTTCCTGGACAAATACATAAGACTGAAATTGGTGGTTCACAGTGTATGTTTTATCTTTCTAAAAAACTGCCAAACAGTTCCCTGAAAGTTGTACTATTTTATACTCCCACAAACAGTGTATGAGAGTTCTAGTTGCTCCAGTATTTGGTATTATCAATCTTTAAAATTTTAGCCATCCTAATACATGTGAAACAATATTCATTGTGTATTAACTAGCAGTTCTCTGATGATTAATGATGTTGAGTATCTTTTTATTTGCCTATTAGCCATTTATATATCTTTTTTTGTGAAATATCTGTTCAAGCTTTTGCCCATATTTTATTTGGGTTGTTCTTTTATTGTTTTTTTTAATGTTCTTTTTATTGTTGAGTTGTAAGAGTTCCTAATTTATTCTGGATACATGTCCTTTTCCTGATACTTGTGAAATTTTTCTGAATATTTTCTCCCAGCCTCTGGATTGCTTGTTTTCTTTTTTTTTTTAAAGTGATGTCTTTTGATAAGCAAATGTTTTTAATTTTGATAAAGTTCAGTTATTAATTTTTTAATGGTTTCTGCTTTTTGTATCCTATCTTAGAAAGCTTTGCTAACTGTAGACTGCAAAACTATTTTCCTGTTTCCTTTAGAATCTCCATCTCTAATTAATTTTTGTGTACTTAAAAAAACCCTAAGTCTTACCTATCTTTTCAGGCATTCTCAGAAATGTTAGAACTCTGTGTAACTCTACTTAGGTTCTTTAGTGAAAATGTTTGAGTAAAACAAAAGCATATTACCTAAAACAGAAAGCTGATTTTGGCTGATAAAACATGCATTCAAATAATTGAGTCATTACTTATTTTATTCAATTATTTTTTAAGAACTAAATTTTATTTTGTTTAATTTTATTCAAGAACTGACCATTAAAGACAATTTTGAATCACTTGTTTTAATGTTGGATAACATGAGCACAAATGTCCTAGCTTGGGTCAATTTATTATTATTTTTTATAGTCATAGGTTTTTTCCTTCTGTTTTTATTTGTTTGGTTTACTACATCAGTTATATTACCTTCTAGTTTGAGTTAGTGTCAGTAGTTTAAAAAAGGTAACCCAGAAACACTATGAAAGATAAAAGTGAGTTGGTCTGAGACAGTGTTTTTCCTTCATAATCTAGAAACAGAACACCTAGAGTTGAATGAATTTTTTAATCTTGTTAAGTTTTATGCATTAATTGACCAAGAATTTCAAATAGTCCATAAAGATTTTCTTGGTTAAAGCTATATTAGAATTTCTCTAATGTTAAATGAAATCACAGAATAACTAGCAGCATGGATTTAGATTCTGAGGATCCTTGAGTTTGAATGCTGGCTTTCCCCCAACTGAATTTTATTACCCATATGATTTTACACAAGGCACATAATTCCTCCAAGCATTAATTTCCTCAGCTGTAGAACAGGATAAATATTCTGACTACTCAGAATAATTGCAACTATTAAATGCAATCTTGTATGTGAAATGCCTATCAAGTAGTTGGTGCTCAATAAATATTACTCGCCCTCCTTTTCTATTTCTAATTCTTGAGTTTTTTTCTCAAGAAAAGAACACATATAAAGCTACACAAACTCCAGAAATTAGATTTTTCTATATCGGCTTATACAGTGTTTCTCAAACCGGAACTTAGAACCTCTTGGAATCTTCAGATAGATTCTTAGCAGTCAGAAGATTTTCTACAGGATTTAAAAAAAAAAACAGACCTGTTTTTATTGGGATGATTATCTTAAAATATTAAAATACACAAAGTCTGAAATGTCTAAATAAGTTATATTTACTTTATAACTAAGCATTGATGTAAGATTTCAATATGAATTTGCATTTCCATTTGCCATTTCATTTTACTGAACTAAGGGACCATCAGTGTGACAGGGTGTACAACAGGCTGCTGTTAGGTTGGCATGTCCTACTATCTAAATGGCCAGTGTCTGCCACCACATTCATGTTGTCTAGGAAGGCAAAATTTCTATTTCCTTGTATATATGAATATACATACAAACAACATTTTCAATGACCAAGACTTTATTTTTTTTTAAATAAATCAATACTTTGATTTCTCATCATGAAAATGACATACCACTGAGTAATGTACTGCTTTGGAGGGGCTAATGAGAAATGAACAGAAGCAGACTGAATAATATAAATGATGTATTTGTACCAAGAGAAAGCCAAATGCTTTCAGGACATTCTATACAAATAAAGATTTAATGGTAATTTGAATATTCTAAATTGAAAACAGAGTGGAAGCAATAATAATAAAATCTGATTTGTGATCAATTTTGAAATGGTTTAAATGAGTCATTTTCCATATCTAATTGCCTCTGTGAAATTCTACATTCTCAAGCCTCATTCATAGCAAACACTAAGCTGAGCCTGTTTGAAAAACCACAAGGCCTATGACGCCTGCATCAGACTTGTTTTCCTGTAGGAACCTGTCTGCCTTGTTTTGGGGGTGAGAGGGTAATTTTGATTATACAATCTCTCTGTTAATTCTTTTCTCTCTTGCCAACAATTGTTGGAATATTGGCCAGATAGAGTCCCAAGCAGATATAAACAAAACACTATGAGAAGCATAGTTCCTTCTGTATCTTCAGAAGTCTGCCTATGTGCTCAGGACTGAAACTGAAAAAAAAATGTTTAAAAAAATATTTCTAAGAGTTTAAATAATCCAGGCTTGTTGCAAATTTCAGTAAAATTTGATTAGAGATATATTTAGTGCTGATTTCAATTATACTGTTATGCCAACTCCATTTTGAAATAAATAATACTGCTTTATAGAGTCATCAAGTGAGGATTGCTCACTGGCAGAATGTTAACTATGAAGCCTGATTTTCCTAAACTACCTTATTTCATAGTCTCAGTTCTTATCTATTGTGTGCTGTGTCCTGATTTCAAAAGTGCTAAAATATCAAAAAACTATGTTCCAGTATCTACGTAATTTGGTAGTAAACAAAAGTTCAGTTTTTTCAGAACACACTTATGTGAATTGGTATTCTCTGCATTAGCCAAAATAAAGAAACAAATTAAGTATAGAACCAAACCTGAGGCTACATCTTTTCACCGTCAAGCCCAACAACGGTTATTTAGTTTCAGCCAAACATAGAATCTACTGCAATAATTTAATGTTAACTTGAATTATATTGATTTGTAGTTGTGTATTTAGTTTGTAAATCTGCTTTGTTTTTAGTTTATAACAGCTATAAGAATAAGGAGTTTATACCCAGTTTTATGTTTATACCTATTTAAATAACAATACAATAGAAGTAATTTCAGCAAAACTGGGAGCCTAGAGAGAATTTATTGCTTTAAAGGGGTCATGCATAAATCCTCCTTGAGAAGTTCTGCTCTGGTTCTTTAAAAGTACGTTGTTCAAAAGTGCCACGATTCTAAAATCACACCTTTTTGCTATTTCTGTACATATCTGATAATTAAAAACCTTTATAAAGATCCCCCCCCCCGCCAAAGGATTTGCTCTTTAGTCAACTTTCAATTTTTTTTTTCTATATGTGGTAAACATTTTTCCTCTTTTCAGAATATAAAGGGCTTAAACATTGTTATCAAGAAGTGTAGCTTGACTGAAGAAGCTTACAACTGGTAGAGATCATGTTCATGACCCAGGGATTCTGACCATCCTTCCAACTCTAGATTTCCCTAACCATGTATATTTTAATAAACTGTTTGGTTATCAGGTTTCTAAGGAGAGTAAGAACATGAAGGAGTTTTGATATATTTCTTCAAATTATAAAATTGAACATCAATTTACTATTTCTTAATAGCTTTGAAGTCAGAAATGCTTATTGGCAAAACAGGTCATTAAAAAATACATCAAAGCATATATTATTTGTAAACGGGCAATTTAACTCAATAGGCTATCATTTTTGCCCATTTTTGGGGGGAGGTGTAAGAACAGTCTATTTTATTACTTTTCAAAACTGTGAAAGAAAAGAATTATAACCGTAAACACAAAAAAGATAGGTTTAGCAGTAATCCCTGTAGGCTTTCTGTTCCTCTCTCTATTTTTGTCTCAGCAATACCAGAAACTCTTACATGGTTTCATACTATTTTCTTTTTGTACATCATAAAATTGGGTACCAATTTTAAAGCTTCTCAAAATTACTAATCTTTCACAGGTTTTTTCTTCAAAAACTGTGTCATAGAAAGTGTAGGACGACCACAGGAAGGAGAAAAAAGAAGCAAAACTTCTCAATCTATAAATATGCCATTGAGGGTGCCATTTTAGTACAACGCAGGCAAACTTACGCCCTTCAGTTTAACTCAATACATGGAGGACTGTAACCACCTGAATATCAGAATCCTTCAGCTTTGGCTTAGTTCACAATGTGCAAAGCAATGACTTGAACAGCATGGTTTTTGCAGAACTTAAAATCAGAATATTTAACAACATTCCAGTATTTCTTGCAAGTGGACCTGTCCTGCATGTTTTTATCGTAACAGGGCTAGGGTTAGCATGCAGGGAAGTACAACCCTAATAGTTTAATTCTTTGAATCCATCTCTCATGCCAAATATGTGGGCTTTACTGTATTCTTCAGTGTTCCATGCGGTTGGAGGCCAAGACTCAAGGTGGCCTAGGGCGATGACCCCTGTGAAAGGCGTGGCTGCCCATCCTGGCTCCTCCCCCCATCCCTGCTGACGCCTGCGCAAAGTGGACTCAGGCCTGAGACACTTGAACTAATGCTAGCAGAGCTGGGGGCAACCTAGAGTGTGTGCTGAAGGTCGGCTCTGATTGGTCAAGTCAAAGAGTGAAGAGACTCACGCTGAAGACCTGGTTATGGATCACCATTTCCGAAGCCAGCAAATGATACAACGTCTCAGCTGGAGATCAATTTTGGAGACATTGGCCACCCAGGACGTGGTGGCAGGGTAGGAGGAGGTGGCCGTGGGCATGGTGGACGTCCAACCATGGCATCAGGACTAAGTCAAGTGCTTCTGCTTCTCATGTGGATGACCTAGAGGCATTCCCAGTCTGGCTTAATTGGATGCCATAAGACAACCCTGGTTCCGTTGTGGATCTTCATTGAGGCCTGCATGCTTAAGGATCCCAAACGACTAAGATATTAAAGGGGGGGGAAAAAAGACCTGTCATTCATACCATTCACACCTAAAGACTGAATTTTATCTGTTTTGAAAATGAACTCCTGCTACACAGAAGTAACAATATGGTAGTATTGTATTTAGAAATGGTAGCAGGGATGTTTCCATAATTTTCAGATTATGCAGTCTTCATAAATACTTATGTATTGCTGCTTGCAAATATGCATTTCCAAACTTGAAATATAAGTGTGAAGAGTGTGTACTAGTTTAAAGCTTTCACTTCATTTGTTTTTTAGTTAAGGATTTAGATGTTCCCCCAATTACAAACTGGTTTTAAATATTGGACATAATATCAGCTATGATATTAACTGATCTTCGAGAGGGCTAAACACTGGGCTCATTTCAACAAAACCCTTTGAAGGGGCACAAGGATCTTATATCGCTAGTGAAATACCGGTAACACGTCCCATATTTTGCAGGGAGGACCGGGGCTCGATCCAGAGTTCTCGTGACCCAGCGTTCTGGCGGCCCAGCAGGCCAACCGATTCGCCAACTCTCAGAGACGTCGGGGAGACGCCGCTTGTTCCAGGCAGGCCTCCTGGGCCGCCTGAGTCGCTCCTGCA